ATTTTATTTTTTTAAGTAATATTTTAAAATAAGTTTTTATTTTATTTTATTAAAGACCTTTTTGTAAATAACTTTTTATTTTATTTTTCTAAGTAACTATTTAAAAAAAATTTCATTTTATTTTAAAAACATTTTTTTAAATAAGATTTTATTTTATTTTATTTTTCGAAGTAAATTTTTTTCTTAAATAAGTTTTTATTTAATTTTTTAAAATTTATTTTTTATATATAATGCAAGTCACCATTTTACCCATTTTAAAATTAATGAAAATTGTGAAAAGTAGTTGGGTGGCCATGATGAAATATTATATGAAATTAGGTGGTCATGATGAAACGCTCTATGAAATTGGAGGACCATGGTGAAATAAAATCAAATTGGGTGGACATGTGGACACTAAGTATAAAGTTGGGTAGCCATGATGAAACAAAATCAAATTGGGTGGGCATAGTGACGTCAAGCATAAAGTTGGGTGGTCATTGCTAGATTTAACCCTGAACAAATGGATACTATCAATGATAGAAGAATCATAAAATAGACAACAGTCCATAGAGGATGTTCATATGCTTTATAAAATGGGGAACAATTACAAGTGGCATACAAAATGACCAGTGAATGATTGTGGATCCATAACCATCTTTTTCCAATAGAACTTGCAATGAAATAAAAAGGAAAAGGAAATTCAAAAGAAGTCCCAAAATTGAAAACACATAGTAAAAGAAATTTGTGCATGCTTTAGTAGGTATTGAGACAATATCATAAATGGTCATTGTTTCAACTCCTTAATCATGTTCAAATCTAGGCATGAGGCTTTCATCTTTCATCTTAATCATGTTCCTTTTTGGACTGGATATGTACCATTCATTTTGATGTCTTTAAATCTCGGAACTTATATGTAGCTCTCATCCCAAATATACATGTTAATCATCGAACCGAATTACACTATCACAACATGGGATTGAACTGAATACAGCAGTCGATAATTTTCTTACTCGTCTTTTGCTATTAATTCAATGTATCGAACATCTTTAGTGTATACACACACCACTTAACCCGAGAAAAATCAGTCTTCTATTACAAGTAGTTATCATCGAATCTTTTGCTTGCAAGACTCGTATTCAAAAAAGTGTCGACTCGCTCAAGTATTGGGGATGCAATTAGAGTCGTCACATTCAGTTCAATAACGGAAACGTACAAAAGGATGCAGATGGGGGAGTTAGAATTCCATTAGAGATTTTTAAGATAAGCAATTTTATTCCCGTGAGCATCTTTCTTACATTTCATATTTTGTCCCTTTTGCATTCTCATCACGCACTACATACTTTCCCCACTAGTCTTTTCTCTTCCTTTATTGGCCGTTACAAAAGCCATGAAATTTTCATAATTTTATAAACGAAAACCTTCACGGAACCCATGCACTCAACCTCCATTATTGTTCTTATCTGTCATATGATTAATTGATGATCCAATTCCCACTTCGACTAACAAAATTTCTATATTAGACACAATCCCACTAATATTTTGTGCCCAATATTGCAGTAAAAAAATGGTAGAAGTAGAACAAAATCCTCCAATGCTTGATCTATCCCCTAAATGGCCTAAAAACACCTTGCACTCAACACTTTCAGAGCTTAAATTGCAATGGCGAATGTCGATTCCGTTGGTGGCAATGAATTTCTCGTGGTTCGCCAAAATAGCGATCACCACGGCATTTCTGGGACGGCTTGGAGAGCTTCCACTCGCCGGTGGGACCCTCGGTTTCACCTTTGCTAATGTGACAGGTTTTTCTGTATTGAATGGGCTCTGTGGTGCAATGGAACCGATATGTGGGCAGGCCTTTGGTGCTAAGAATTTTAAGCTCCTTCATAAGACACTTGTTATGGCTACTTCTTTATTACTAGCAGCATCAGTTCCAATTGCTTTCTTGTGGCTAAATGTTGATAAAATACTTATTCACTTTGGCCAACAAGAAGATATTTCGATTACTGCTAAGAATTATCTGATGTATCTCCTCCCTAATTTGGTTATAACTGCATTATTATGTCCTCTAAAGGCCTATTTGAGTACACAGAACATAACAGTACCAATCATGTTGAGCTCAGCAATGGCAGTAGCATTGCACATACCGCTTAACGTGTTACTTTCAAAGGCAAAAGGTCTCGAGGGAGTTTCGATGGCAGTGTGGATAACTGACCTTTTAATTGTGATATTGCTCGTTTCGTACATGTTGGTAGTAGAGCGTAGAAAGGGCGGGAAATGGAAGGACGGGGGCTGGTGGGAGCATGGGATTAACGATTGGACGAGGTTGCTCAAGTTATCAGTGCCATGTTGCCTAACAACTTGTCTCGAGTGGTGGTGTATCGAGATATTAGTCCTGCTAACTGGGCGCCTGCAGAATGCGAAACAAGCAGTAGGAGTGCTGGCAATTGTGTTGAATTTCGACTACTTGCTGTACTCTGTGATGCTTTCTCTAGCAACTTGTGCATCAATTCGCGTGTCAAATGAACTAGGTACAGTTGAACCACGTCCTCGAAAAACTCAAGGCATTAGAGACAATAAAGTTTAATTATTTGAATATTGTCTTCTAATACACACGCTCGGTACATTCTTTTTTACCATTAATGACCTCGCATGTGCACAAATTTATTCTTGGTGTACATAAAGATTTGTACATAAGGGCAGGTGAGGGAAATGACACCTCTATGTACAAAAAATTATGTACACCAAGCATGGCCCATTTTATAAATCGGTAGCATCATGACTTGTGTTCACCTAACATAAATTTTGTCTTCAATAGGAGCAAACCGTGCTGGATTGGCCTATCGGTCAGCATCCATCTCTCTATGCATTAGCATAGTGTGCGGCTTTATTGGTGGCTCAACAATGGTGGCAGCCAGAGGCGGCTGGGGACGATTATTTAGCCATGATAAGGGGATCATAAAAACTGTAAAGAAGACAATGCTGCTAATGGCTATAGTAGAAGTCGTTAATTTTCCCTTAGCCGTTTGTGGAGGCATAGTGCGTGGAACAGCCCGACCGTGGTTGGCCATGTACGCTAATCTCTGCGGGTTTTATATGCTGGCTCTGCCTTTGGGAGTGATTTTAGCCTTCAAAATCCTTCTCGGGTTGGGGGGATTGTTGATGGGGTTCTTGGCAGGTATGGTTTCTTGCTTGATTCTGTTGCTGGTGTTTGTTGCGAGAATCAACTGGTGTGAAGAAGCTGAGAAGGCACAGAGACTCATTGGCCATGAGCAAGAACTAGTGGTTAATAAAACTGAAGATCATAAGAGTTTGGCAATAGTTGATAGTACTGTCTTATTTTCAGAACAGAACACCAATTAAATTTGCAGCATGAGACAGAGGTATAGAAGTTAAATCTCTGTGATTAATTTGTAAATATAATAGAAGTGAAGTTCCTCATAATTCTGCTATTTCTATCAAGAATACAACAACTAATAACCGGTTATAACCCAAATGGTCGAACTTTAACCCGTGTTTCTATTGATTACCGAGCTTCTAATTGTTCTGATTAGTCACCCAACTCCACCTTATGTTACCAGAATACTATGGAATGAGGAGCACCCTTAGCCCTTCGGATCCACATGTTTGTTATAATGACTAAACATATGCAAACTCTCAGGTGTCACGAGGACAAATTGGCACTTATGAACATCCCTGAATTCTGGAGATCTAGCCATCAAAGTCCAT